GAGAGAATTGTTCTTAATCGTGTCATGTTTCAGGTCAAAGAAAAATTGGTTCCTAACCTATATAGGTTTATGCCCAAGTGTAGCACACAAAGAGCTATCGCTCATTGTGTACTTTGTGTAATCGCTCACAAAGAGTTATCTAGGCACACCTTGAGGTGTACCTAGATCGTATGCATCTCTTCTTGTGCTTTTAACGTCTTTAAAAAGGACACTAGCGAGCATGTTGGATAGGAAACTCTTTATTTAACTCAGAAGATTACCTTTGATTCCAAATTCAGCAAGTTGCTCTAATATTATTTCGCCATTTGCTACATTGAAAACTGAATTCAGGTCAATAAAGGCTGCCTGTGTCCTATCCTAGGGGAGTACAAAATATTCAGCAAACCTGTTTGTGCACTACACTTGGGCATAAACCTATATAGGTTAGGAGCCAATTTTTCTTTGACCTGAAACATGACACGATTAAGAACAATTCTCTCAAAGACTTTACATATGCAAGATGTAAGGGAAATGAGTCTGAATTTCTGAGAGTTAGGTTTAGAAATTGGTACTATGAGACTTTGTATTCATCTCTTTGACAAGAAACCTTGCGAGAGACTCATTTGATGGAGGTCAGGTAGAGGACATCCAGGGACATCATTCAGTAAGCTCAAGATGGTATACGACGATAACTCATCCCCACCAGGGGCAGTTTGTTTAAGTTTCCCTAATGCTGATGTCAACTCAAAATGGGTTATAACAAACTGATCCGTTAAATCTGGTGAAGAACGTGCTATTATAATATTAAAGTTTCAGTTAATGTAGTTATTATTTAAGACCTGCTGAATATCTAGGGGTAAGGAAGAAATTTGTGAGACTCTAAACCATTTAACTAGGACCATGTCAGCATATTCTGTGGGAGTCTACCCGACGCTCGTACCTGACCCAACGCTTGTACCTAACCTGACGGTTGTATCTGACCCGACGAATGAACCTGACCCGACGGTTGTATCTGATCCGACTCATGTACCTGACCCGACGCTGGTATCTGACCCGACGCTGGTATCTGACCCGAAGCTCGTACCTGATCCGACGCTTGTACCTGAACCGACGCTCGTACCTGACCCGACGCTAGTACCTGACCCGACGCTAGTACCTGACCTGACGCTCATACCTGACCCGACGCTCGTACTTAAACCAACGCTCGTACCTGACCCGACGCTCGTACCTAACCCGACGCTAGTACCTAACCCGACGCTCGTACCTAACATGACGCTCATTCCTGACCCGACACTAGTGCCTGACCCGACGCTTTTGCCTGACCCGACACTAGTACCTGACCCAACGCTTGTACCTGAACCGACTCTTGTACCTGACCCGACGCTTTTACCTGACCCGACATTCGTGCCTGACCCGAGACTTGTACCTGACCCGACGCTTGTACCTGATCCGACGTTAGTATCTGACCCGACGCTTGTATCTGACCCGACGCTCGTACCTGACACGACGCTTGCACCTGACCCGACACATGTATCTGACCCGACGCATGTACTGGACCCGGCACTCGTACCTGACCCAACGCTTGTACTTGACCCAACGATTGTACCTGACCCGACACTTGTACCTGACCCAATGCTCATACCTGACCCGACGCTCGTACCTAACCTGATACTCGTACCTGACCCGACGCTCGTACCTAACCCGACGCTCATACCTAACCCGATACTCGTTCCTGACCCGACGCTCGTACCTAAGCCGACGCTCATACCTGACCCGACGTTAGTACCTGACTCGATGCTTGTACCTGACCCGAAGCTAGTACCTGGCCTGACGTTTGTACCTGACCCGACACTTGTACCTAACCCGATGCTTGTACCTGACCCGACGCTCGTACCGAACCCGACGGTTGTATCTGACCCGACGCTCGTACCGAACCCGACGCTAGTACCTGACCCGACGCTAGTATCTGACCTGACGCTCGTACCTGACCTGACGCTCGTACTTAAACCGACGCTCGTACCTGGCCCGACGCTCATACCTAACCCGACGCTAGTACCTGTCCTGACGCTCGTATCTAACATGACGCTCATTCCTGACCCGACACTTGTGCCTGACCCGACGCTTTTGCCTGACCCGACACTAGTACCTGACCCAACGCTTATACATGACACGACGCTTGTTCCTGACCCGACACTAGTACCTGACCCAATGCATGTACCTGACCCGACGCTTGTACTTGACCCGACACTCGTACCTAACCCGACGCTCGAACCAGAACCGACGCTCGTACCAACCCCAACGCTCGTACCTGACCCGACGCTTGTACTTAACCCAACGCCTGTACCTGACTCGACGCTCGTTCCTACCCCGACGTCCGTACCTGACCCGACACCCGTACCTAACCCGATACTCATACCTGACCCGAAGCATGTACCTAACCTCAAGCTCGTACCTAACCCGACGCTCGTGCCTGAACCGACACTCGTACCTGACCTGACTCTTGTACCTAACCTGAAGCTCGTACCTGACCCGAGTCTCGTACCTAACCCGACGCCTGTACCTGACCCGACGCCTGTACCTAACCCGACGCTTGTACCTAACTCGACGCTCGTACCTGACCCGACGCTCTTATCTAACCAGACGCTCGTACCTGACCCGACGCTCGTACCTGACCCGACGCTAGTACCTGACCCGACGCTTTTGCCTGACCCGACGCTAGTACCTGACCCCACGCTAGTACCTGACCGGATGCTCGTACCTGACCCGACGTTCGTACCCGACTCGACGCTCGTGCCTGACCTGACGCTCGGACCTGACCCGACGCTTGTGCCTGATGCGACGTTAGTACCTGACCCAACGCTTGTACCTGACCCGACGCTTGTACCTGACCTAACACTTGTACCTGACCCGGCGCTCGTACCTAACCCGACAGTTGTACCTAACCCGACGCTCATACCTAACCCTACGCATGTACCTGAACCGACTCTTGTACCTGACCCGACGCTTCTACATGACTCGACGTTCGTGCCTGATCTGACACTCGTACCTGACCCGACTCTTGTACCTGATCCGACACTAGTATCTGACCCGACGCTTGTACCTGACCCGACGCTTGTACCTGACATGACGCGTGTAACTGACCCGACGCTTGTATTTGACCCGACGCATGTACCGGACCCAACACTCGTACCTGACCCGACGCTTGTACTTGACCCAACTATTGTACCTGACCCGTCGCTTGAACCTGACCCGACGCTTGTACCTGACTCAATGCTCATACCTGACCCGACGCTCATACCTAACCCGATACTCGTTCCTGACCCGACGCTCGTACCTAAGAAGACGCTCATACCTGACCCGACGTAAGTACCTGACTCGACGCTCGACTTGACCCGACGCTAGTACCTGACCCGACGCTCGCACCTAACCCTACGGGCGTACCTAACCCGACGCTAATACCTAACCCGACGGTCGAACCTAACCCGACACTTGTACCTGACCTGACGGTTGTATCTCACCCGACGCATGTGCCTGACCCGACGCTCGTACATGACCCAACGCTCGTACATGACCCAACGCTCGTACCTGACCCGACGCTCGTACCGAACCCGACGGTTGTATCTGACCTGACGCTCGTACCTGACCCGAAGAATATATCTGACCCGACGCTAGTACCTGACCCGACGCTAGTACCTGACCTGACGCTCGTACCTGACCGGACGCTCGTACTTAAACCGACGCTCGTACCTGACCCGACTCTAGTACCTGACCTGACGCTCGTACCTAACATGACACTCATTCCTGACCCGACAGTTGTGCCTGACCCGACGCTTATACCTGACCCGACACTTGCACCTGACCCGACACTTGCACCTGACCCGACGCTAGTACCTGAACCAACTCTTGTACCTGACCCGACGCTTGTATCTGACCCGACGCTAGTATCTGACCCGACGCTCGCTCCTAACCCTACGGTCGTACCTAACCCGATGCTCATACCTAACCGACGCTCGTACCTAACCCGACGGTCGAACCTAACCCGACACTTGTTCCTGACCCGACGGTTGTATCTCACCCGACGCATGTGCCTAACCCGACGCTAGTACTTGACCCAACGCTCGTACCTGACCCAACGCTCGTACCTGACCCGACGCTCGTACCTGACCCGACGCTAGTACCTGACCCGACACTTGTACCTAGCCCGACGCTAGTACCTGACCCGACACTCGTTAATAACCCGACGCTCGTACCTGACCCGACGCTTGTATCTAACCAGACGCTTGTACCTGACCCGACGTTCGTACCTGACCCGACGCTTTTGACTGAACCGACGCTAGTACCTAACCCGACGCTCGTACCTGACCCGACGCTCGTACCTGACCCGACGCTTGTGCCTGAATCGACTTTTCTACCTGACCCGAAGCTTGTACCTGACCCGACGCTCGTACCTGACCCAACGATCGTACCTAACCCGCCGCTCATACCTAACCCGACGCTCGTACCTGACCCGACGCTCGTACCTAACCCGCCGCTCATACCTAACCCGACGCTCATACCTAACCCGACGCTCCTACCTGAACCAACGCTCGTACCTGACCCGACGCTAGAACCTGACTCATTGCTCGTACCTAACCGGACGTTTGTACCTAACCCGACGATCGTACCTAACCCGACGCTCGTACCTGCCCTGACGCTTGTACCTAACCCGAACCTTGTACCTGTCGAGACGCTTGTACCTAACCCGACGCTCGTTCCTGACCCGACGCTCGTACCTAACCCAATGCTTGAACCTAACTTGACGTTAGTACTGGACCCGAGGCTCGTACCTAACCCAACGCCCGTACCTGACACGACTCTTGTACCAAACCTGACGCACGTATGCACGTATCTAACTAGAGTCTCGAACCTGACCCGACGCTCGTACCGGACCCGACGCTTGTACCTGACCCGACGCTCGTACTTGTACTTGACCTGTACTTGACTCGACGCTTGTACCTGACCCGACGCCCGTACCTGACCTGATGCTCGTACCTAACCCGACGCTCGTACGCAACCTGACGCTCGTACGCAAGCAGACGCTCGTACCTGTCCCGACGCTCGTACCTAAGCCGACGCTCGTACCTGACCCGACACTCGTACCTGACCAGACGCTTTTGCCTGATCCGACGCTAGTACCTGACCCGACGCTCGCACCTGACCCGACGCTCGTACGTATCCCAATGCTCGTGCCTGACCCGACGCTCGTACTTAACCTAACGCTTGTACCTGACTCGACGCTCGTTCCTATTCCGACGCCCATACCTGACCCGACGCCCGTACCTAACCCGACGCTCGTACCAAACCCGACGCTCGCACCTGACCCGACACTCGTACATGACCCGACACTCGTTCTTGACCCGACGCTCGTACCTAACCTGATGCTCGTACTTGACCCTACGTTTGTACCTGACTCGAGGCTCGTATCTAACCCGATGCTTGTACCTGACCCAACATTTGTACATGACCCGATGGTTGTATCTGACCCGACGGTTTTACATGACCTGACGCTTGTACCTGTCCTGACGCTCGTACTTGTACCTGACCTGTACCTCACCCGACGCTCGTACCTGATCCGGAACTTGTACCTGACCTGATGCTCGTACCTGACCCAACGCTCGTAGCTAACCCGATACTCGTACCTGACCCAACGCTTGTACCTGACCCGATGCTCGTACTTGACCCGACACTCGTACCTGACCCGACGTTTGTACCTGACCTGACGCTTGTACCTGACCCGATGCTCGTACTTGACCCGACGTTCGTTTCTAATCCGTTACTCGTACCTGACCCGACGCATGTACCTAACCTGAAGCTCGTACCTAACCCGATGCTCGTACCTAACCCGACGCTCGTATCTGACCCGATGCTCGTACCTGACCAGACTCTTGTACCTAACCTGAAACTCGTACCTCACCAGAGGCTCGTACTTACTAATGTGCGCTTACTAGCAAATTTGGTTTCCATCAAGTGTAATAGGGGAATGTGGATCGAGAAACTTGTAATAGAGAAAGTGAATACTATTGCAAGTCGGAAATAAAGCAGAAAATCCCTTATTGTAATACAAGCGAATTAATATATCAGTGTTATAACCTAAGTAACTGGCAACTGAGGGCCTCCAGCCGCGGCCTGGGACAACAACGTGTCAACTGTACAGCCTCTGGGACTCTCACCCTCGACCGTGCGATAAGTACTGACCATACAGTAGAACAAATAAACATATATAGTGTTACAAATATACGGTATACATATAATATTATAAATATATAGATATATACAACAAAACAAGGCAAAATGGGAGTAAATAAACAAATTTGTGGCCACTGTAACAACTCCTTAAAGACGAAGGTAACGGGAATTGAATGTTATATCTGTAAGTCTAGAATCCATTCGGCTTGTACAGGAGTGAGTAACACTACGGCACTGAGAGCTGGTCACTTGCTCTGGGTGTGTAAAAATGACCTGCCAGATTGGAATATCCTAAAAAACCTTCTAGATAACATGACGCATGATCGGAAAATATCATTCATTGGAAGCCTACCAGCCATCCAGAAGGAGTGGGAAAGGAACAACAACAACTCTAATATACCAGGGGCGGAGGCTATAGTCTGGGATGAAACTGAGGCTGAAACTCAGGAAGTTGTAAACTTTGACTCAGTAGACCAGGATGTAGATGGCAGTAAACTAGAAAGTGTACCAGACAGCACTGACAGCTCGATAGGTACAGACACTACAACGGTCCCCGATAGAGTGAGTCAGAACAGAAGGACAGACAAATTTTATGCAAAGGGCATATGCAGACATAGATATGCTGGTAATAAGAAAGGATTAGAATGCAGTTACCGACATCCCAAAAAATGTCTAAATATGCTTAGGAAAGGTAAGTGTCGATTTGGATCAATATGTAGGTTTTTCCATCCTGACATGTGCCAAACCTCACTGGAGGACAGAAAATGCTATGACCTCAGCTACCCACACTTTCACGTGAAAGGCACGGAACGCTACATAAAGAGTGGCAAGCAGGATAATGAATTTGGAGGAAACTATATAAATTTTTTATACCAGACCGAAAGAGAATTCAAAAGGAGCAGCATGGAGAGTGTATGGAACTGGATGCCAGATCCACTTGCATTCCAGAATTATGTGGGAAAAACCTGCTGGGATTGATATAAGAGGAGACTACCAGGGACTTGTACTGAACTAAATTAAAAATTACTGTCTGCAAATTAATTCAACTAAAATCTCTAGCTAGGGTTGTAAATCCTAAATCCTCTTTTCCTAATGACAGACTGTGGGCTGTAAGGGACAGGTGGGGTGAATGACTATGTTGATAGAAGTTCCAATCCACCTGTAGACAGGGATCTCACATCAGCTTGTATTTTATACAAGGATAAGATTTGATAAATTCAGTTATCTGACTGAACACTGGCTCTGTTTAAATCAGGGATTTAAACATACATAGTCTAACCTAGCACCATAACTTAACAGCCAATATGTACTTATACTATAAACAACAAATTAAATTGTAAAAGTATAAATAAATGACCTTAAATGTAGTCTTAATACTATTAACTTAGTACTAGAAATTATATTCAATTAAATGAACTTATATGATAACTTAAAAATAACTAAGCAAGCAATTGATAACTTAATTTATATATTCAAATATATATGCAGACATATTCACTTTATACAGTTAGCTTGACTGAATCTCTTCCAAGACTGTGGACACTTGTGAGGTTTTTACTTATTGAGGCTGAATTCTTTTCTGACAGAATGGACACTCATGAGGTTCAGTGCTTGGATAAGATTCACAGCTACACTACAATTTTAATAAACGTACCGATGAATGAGGCTTAGCCTCGCTTTTTAACCAACAGACAGATTTATAGGATATTAAAGTTACACAAGCATACAATTGGCCAATCATACACCAAATAACCCTCAATATACTTCTCTGCCAGTCGGGGTGCCTGTCTGACAAGTTTGCCAGACTGATTAACTCTCTTGTTGAGTTTAGGCACGATATTTTGCTACAGCGTTGCTGTATGATGATCTGGTAGCGTTGCTACGTGATTATCCTGCAGTTGCAGAAGAATGATTCGAGATAAAAGTTTATGAATGAAGGTGGAGGAAACCGTGTCACTGATCTCCACTATACACTCTATTTTATGTGAATGTTCTAGGATTTTCCTTGTAGATATTGTCCAGGTACTCCCCCAGTTCTAGAGAGTATTCACTGGCGATAAAAATGTTAGATAAGGTGTCCTTGAGCTGGTAATGTTCGCTAAGGATCAGTCACTTGTTCACTCATTTGTAAACAAACGCGGAGTGCCGCGAGGCATCGTCGTGGGCGCTTCTCGCCCCCCGAGAGCCTTCCCCCTCTCCCTTGAGAGGTAGCTTGCAATGAATATTGATTGATTATTTTTACAGTCTAGACTTATGATTAAGATAAGATGTGATTATAATATAATTAGATATAAGATTTAAAGATTATAAGTAGTATTTGAAAGTACCACTGAATCTTATTAAGGATTCGATTTTTAATCCTACCGGATGTTGAATCAATGTTCCAATAGTTTTTTAATTAAGAAGTCCTTCTAGAAGCTTCTGGATCCTTGAAAGATCATGTACAAAGTCACGTAGGCATCAAAAGGGCCCCTGTTGCGTACGTGTTCATGGTGCCATTGTCATCCAGGATCAAGCTATATAATGAATCTTTAAAGATTCATTATATGATTTTGATACAATTTAGATATGATTTTGATATGATTTAGATATGATATAGAAATTATACATTTCTTAGATGATTATTAGATATGGTGGGTAAAAATTTCCCACATCTTCCAGAGGGAGAGAACTGGCACAGAGTCCAATACTTAGGACAATAGTAACCATATGTATTTATTTACTCTCCATTGGATTGATAATACAAGTGCAAATTTTGCTTGCACTTTTGTGCTGCTGTCCGTTGTGGACGATTGTGTCTGTTAGGAGTCTGTGGGTCTTGTGGAGTTAGAGTGTCTTGAGGTCTCTCAGGATCTAACTGCAGCTGGCTCACTGATTCCATGTGGATGAGTTTGTCCAATGTCTTCAGGGAAGTTGTTCCTTTAGACAGGATTTTGACTATTCTCAAAATCCCCTGACTATCTGGATGGACTGAGACAACTTTACCTAATGGCCAGTCAGCCCTAGGGCCATCACTGTCTACCAAGACAATATCGCCAGGTTGGAGATTAGCTATATTATGTGGGACATTGGCCCCATAGTGATGTTCTCGTAGAGATGTAAGATATTCTTTTGTCCAAACATCATTCCATTTTTGGATTATGCTGGACAGATGCTTATACCCCTGAACCAACTCGCTCTGACCCACATATGAGGGATCTCTGATCTCATCATCCACTAGAGATGGTACTGGAGTCAGAAGTCTTCCATACATTAGGTGGGCAGGACTTAATGGCTCATGTTGAGTAGGATCCTCAGACAAGTAAGTCAACGGCCGGTTATTCACCCTTGATTCTATTTCCGTGATTACTGTCTGGAGTTCTTGAAGATTGATTTTCTGACGGTGTAGAGATTTTCTCAAGGATCTTTTTACAGTTCCTATTAACCGTTCATAAAATCCTCCGTGCCATGGGGCTCTCGGAGGGATAAATTTCCATCTGCAATGACGCTGTTCCAGTGTGGAAGTAACTGCAGGATGGGAACAGATTTCCCGTAGACATGCTTCTCCAGCTACCAAGTTTGCTCCGTTATCTGAAATCATCAGCTTAGGGCATGATCGGCGTGCTGCGAATCTGCGGAAAGCTTGAATAAATGATTGAGCAGTCATATCGGGTGTTACCTCTAGATGTACTGCCCTGGTGGTAGCACAGGTGAACAGACAGATGTATGCCTTGATAGGTTGCTTATCTGCAGTCCCTGTTAGATATATTGCTCCTGTATAATCTACTCCTGTCGTTTCGAAAGGTTGTAGATGGACCACTCGTTCCTTTGGTAGGGGTGGTGGCCCTGGATAAGAGCAAGTTCTTGCATCGTACCTTCGGCATATCATGCAATTCTTCAAGATTGATTTGACTGACTGTCTTCCCTGAGGAATCCAGTACTGCTGTCTGATTTGTGTGAGTGTGTCTAACACTCCTCCATGTTTGATGATTTGTTGATGTGTATGCAACACAATCAACCTTGTGATCCAATGATTTTTTGGTAAAAGCCATGGATGCACGGTATCTAGATTGATATCTGCGTGTTTAAGTCTCCCTCCACAACGCAGAATGTTGTGATTTTCTTGGTCTATCCACAGACCGAGATTGTGTTTTAACTTATGCGGAAGATTTTCATAGTTATTCCCATAAGTTTCTCTCTGGGCTTGTCTTACCCAATAGATAAGTGCATCAGGAAAAGTGTATTTTATACCTTTTTTCCTGAGATAATGAAACACGTTCTGTGTTACATTGATTAATTTGATGAGCGAGGAGTAACGAGTACAATCCAAGACTGATATTTGAGCTTGCTGCCTGGTGGTAGTTATGGTTTGTGTCGTAATGACGTGTGGCTTTTGTTCAGGCCAACTACCATTCACTAACCATCGAGG